TGATGGCCTGAGGAGTTCCCCAATGTGCCTTGGAGAAGCAGCGCAGGACAGAACTGGCCTCCCCCCGGCCTTTCTGCCTGGCCCTGAGTCCCTGGGCTGAAGCCACATTGAGCAGGACGAGCCCCTGGCGTTACCCTCACTGCTCCGTGTCGGCCTGCAGGAACCCAAACTTGGCAGAGAGGTACAGAAAGCGTCTGAACAAGATCCAAGCCGAGGATGTGCCGATCGACATCAAACCCGTCAACCCGCCGGACGTGTTCTGCTCGGAGCCGCAGGAGCCCAAGCAGCTGTTCTGGGTGCGAGCACGAGGGTACATAGGTGGGTCCTGCCAGGGCCCTGCTGCCTCACGAGCGGGGGCTGTCACGGAGGGAACCGAGGGGGTTGTGGTGCAGCACCCCGAGCCTGCGGGGATTTCAAGGCTGAACCACGGCTGTGGGTGCTGGAGGGTGGAGCGATGCCCATGCTCAGCCATAGCGGATGCTCCCCAGCGGGCAGTGGGTCTGGAAGAGCCTCAGCTGTCACCGGCCGTCCCCTGGGGGAGCAGAGCTCCCGGGGCTCTGCCACACGCCCTGGATTGTCCCTGGCCACCCCCAGCAGCACCGGTTGCTTTGCAGGAGAGACCGACATGAAGGTGCACTGCTGCGTGGCCGCCTACATGTCCGACTACGCCTTCCTGGGCACGGCCCTGCTCCCGCACCGGCAGTACCGCATCAAGTTCATGGCGTCCCTCGACCACTCCATGTGGTTCCACGCGCCTTTCCGAGCGGATCACTGGATGCTGTACGAGTGCGAGAGCCCCTGGGCTGGTGAGTCCTCCCCGTGGTCCCCCAGGACCAGCCCTGCCCGTGCAAGGAAGGGGCCGTGGTCTGACAGCCGCTCTCTGCAGGGGGGTGCCGGGGGCTGGTGCAGGGACGGCTGTGGTGCAGGGACGGGGTCCTGGCTGTCACCTGCGCGCAGGAGGGAGTCTTCAGGGTGGAGCAAACGCCGAACCAGAGCAAGCTGTAGCTGAGGAACCCCCCGGGCTGGGGCTCAGGTGCACCCAGGAGGGACCCTGAGACCAGAACTGAGGTGGGAGCCGGGCAGCAGCGGGAAGGAGCCTTGGAGGAGACCAGGCTGGATCCAGTGCTGCAGGACCAGCCATGGATAAAGCTGCTGCGTGAACCCTGGGCTCCGTCCCCTTGGCCCCCACAGCCGTGCTCACCAAAGGAGCCTCCCCGGGCAGCCCTGGGCGAGTCGGGGGTCGGCTCTGCCCCTGCAGCAGCCTGGGTCTCAGGAGGGGAAAGTGCAACTGCGGCGCCTGTGGCTTCCCCTTCTCGCTTCTCCTGCCCTTGCCGTGCCCCAGTGCTGTTCCTGCTCGCCCTCGCTCTCCTGCCCAGGGACACGAGGGGCCCAGCCCTGGGGAAGGGCATGAGCAGCTCCCCATTGGTGTGAGGGGCTCGAGGCTTCCCGCTGCAGTGCCCTGGGGGAAGTGAAGCTGGCAGACACAGCAGGCACCTCGCTTATCTTCCAACTAAGACTTTATTAAATAAAGTCCTTTTTATTGTTGGAGTTTCATGGGAAGTTCCTGCCAGGAGCCTTCCTCTTCCCTAATGCAG